AAAAAAAGAAAGAAAAAGATCCAACCCTTTTTAATATTAGGGAATGAAATGATAAGGCTTGACTTAATTTTTCAGTTTTCCTTTGATAAACCTTAACTTTGAGATGCCGCAGGAGGTGGATTCACCAGACTTCTTGGTAACCTCCAGATGTAATTACATCAGTCGAAGCCTAAGTATTCATCTTTTCTCCTTCTAAAGCACCTTTGCATTAAATTTAGAGTGGAAATTCTTAAAGAATTAATTGGAAGAAAGTATTTGGTGCTCTGTTTCAGAGGAAGAAGGTAGTGTTTTTAAGAAATAACAATCTGGAAGAATAACCAAAATATATTCATAGCATTTAGCAACAGTTTAATGAGTTTTCAGTTTTTCCATTTCCTGTCAATAAACTTCATCAGCCACCAATACTCCTAAAAAGTGATTTTAAGTGATTATTTGCCTTGGTGTTATTAAGGGTAGAGCAAATGCTTCTGAAATCGGTGTAGAGAGGATTTTCAAAGTGAAAATTTTATTATTTATTTTTTTTTAAGTATGACTGCTTATATCTATAAAGTTGCTTATGGTTCTACTTTCCACACCCTATAAATAATAATAGTAATAATGATTGAAAATAACAAAAGCTTCCCCCTCAGACCAATTTTCTTCAATTTTCTTTTCACTGTATTATTCAGTTTATTTAATCTTCGCACTATCTCTGCCTTGCCTCTGGATTTCAGACACATGCATGCAGATAATTAGCATGGATGCAGATATTGCACAAGATGGTCAGGGCTTATCAGATACAGGCATGTCTAATCTGTCAGCAATTTACAGCTTCTTTTTAAATTTCCACTTTCTAATAACAGCAGAACTTTTTTTCAGAGGATCTACTCCCGTTCTCCCCTCTGCAACTGGGGCAAGAAAATCTCAYGAGATGGGACCTAAACTGCAGAACGAGCACTTAAGGAAAGGCTGGGATCTGCGTGCCACACCTCTGCCCTCTCTTGTATACAGTGTTATTGTAAATCACAATGTCTCCGTCCAGAGAAAACATATTTTGCACCTCATCTGGTCTAAATATTGAGTTTACGAGTGAATGTTGCTTTGCATTATGTGTTATAGATGCTTTATGTTTATTTAAGAACTCAGTTTGCAGGAATGTTTTCCAGACATGCGGTTTACCGCAATAGACAGTTGTTGATATTCTGATCCCAAGAGCATTAGAATATGTTTAGGAATTGCGACACTTTTAAAACCAGATGTTCTACATAAGCTGCACAAAAAAAATGGGGGTGGGGGAACAAATAGAACTGTCATTTGGCATGAAAACAGCCTGTGTTAAAGCAAGGGCAAACACATACCAAGTGAAATAAACGTGGTGAACTGCCCTCAACCCTTTCCTCCTTTTGTGAGCAACTATTTTAACAAAAGATGGAAAAATCCCATCTTCCAGATGGTGTGGGAAGGGGAAAAGAAGGTTTTCAGATCCAGGTTTGCATCTGAAGGAAGCTGCTGGATCTCGTTTCCTGGGATGGATCAAACCAGAATGACAGAGCTAGGCAACTTCAGGCAAGGAAAGAATGCAAATCTGGATTCAACGCCCTGTCCAGAAAATKATTTTCTGTGTGTTTCTAAAGGTAAAAGAGGAAACAAAGATTTGCCCTTCATGGTGAATTGCTACAGAAAGTCTCCTCCAGCTGCCAGAGACTGGTGGAACATCCCAGCCTGTCCTCCWGTATGATCTGACAGATATTTGTGTAAGCAGGTGGGGGATCATCCTGCACCAGGCACTGTCTCAGGGGCTGAAGGATCTCAAACCAGCTCARCCCTGGGTCTCTGGTGGGAAAGCAGGGCTGGGCAGCTGAACAATCTGGACTCACAGCCGTCATCAGCTGATGATAAACTGCCTCTTTCCATTCAATCTGTTGCTGTTTTTCCTTCTGACTTTGAACTCTTTCCCTTATTTATTATAAAGCAGAAAGCAAAAGAGTTTCACATACACCAAGCTTAAACAATTTGRCTTCAGTCATATTACTCAGAATTTTTTTTCTCCTTCTATCACAAGTTGACATTCATTGGGTTATCAGTGATAACACTATAGGTTGGGACYTATAATAAAAATAAAACCAACTGACAGACAAAATAAAAGATAACTAAGGAATCTTTGCTTTTCTTTAAAACAGAATCCCACAGTGATGGAAATGGTACCAGCAAATATAAAAACATTTGCACAAAACATGCTGGTTTAGGTAATTAAACAATGCATGTTTGCCCAAAGGTTGGAAATATTATATTTGTAATATAAAAGTAATGCAATGTCTGACAAACAGCCTTGTTCAGAGAGTTGAAAGGAATGCTGCAAAGAAAAGTGATGGGCAAACATCACTTTTTAGTTTTGCCATGAGAATTCCTGAGCCTTGAGAATCAGAGCTGTTTGGTCCTTCCTGTATCCCTTCCAAGCTGTAGCAAAGCTGCTCTGCACATGGATGCTGCATTTTAGCAATTTGCTCAGCTGCACAGGATAAAGCTCATGTGAGAGCCATGGTTCCTGGGAAGGCAATTTACCTGCGTTAGTAAAAGGATCAAACTGCCCTCCCAGCTTAGTCACCCTCACCGAACAGAGGGCTCCTGCCACCATCCCAGGGGATGCTGGACCAGTCCAGCTTCAAAGAATTAATGCAGTAATAGATCTGCCCACTGATTCATTCTGCTCCTCATGAGTACCTGAAAAGCCAGCTCTGAAACTCTTTCCTAGGTCCGCCTCACCAAAGGCAATTTATGGCGGAAGTTCATGTACATATTTATTTTGTTGCTAAAGAGTTTGCTGGCATACTTCAAAGTGTGGGCTATTACCTGTTCAGGTTTATTGCCTGCTCAAGTGAATTATTGCCTACCTGAACAGGCCTGCTGAGCAATAGTTCAAATTAAAACGTGTCATTTATCATGTTCACACCAATCCAAAATGACCACAAAACCCAAGGTGTAATTATTGCCAGGCTCTGACTGCAGAGCTCTCSTAGCAAGCTCTGAACCAGTGGGGAMTGCTGGTTCCTCTCTTCGAAGGAAATCTGCTTCCTTATTCATAATGAACAGATATGTCCCTATCATTAACAGCAATATTGTTTCAAGWGCTGATATGCACCACGGAAACCAGCTTTGAAATATGGGGGAAGAATATGACATGGATTCCATCCAAGATTAGTTTTTCACCAAGCGCAGTTTTAGACCCAATGCTTTTCATTAAAATTTATTCTAAAAACAAGTCTTGCCCTTACCAACAAAAAGGAGGTGGTCACATAGCCTCGAATGGTGGTGCTATTTTTATTAGTGTCATTATTATTATTCCTACTACTATTATTGTTTACCACAATTGAGGAAAAAAACAAAAATTACTGCAAGATCTCAGTAGCAGGGTGGGCTGTAGATGGTTCAGTTTGCCTGCAGCTGTAGCAAACCAAAACTATGCATCCACGTTCTTCTCCATCCTCTTCTATCCCTGTTCCTTGCTGTGTCATCTTTTCACATTCTTTGATATAACCCAGAGTTTTTGTTCCATTTGTACCTAAAATTCATAGGGCTGCAGCTGCCTATGGACAGCAGCGAAGACCAGCAATAAATACAGCCTGCTGTTCCCTCACATCTCTCCCCAAACCTTCCTGGCTCATCTGGGGCTTTGGAGMTTTTTCTGGATAATGTAAAGCTCCTAAAGTAAGAGGAAAATAAAGCATTTTGTCTATGTCTTTACTGAAGCATTGTAAAGGAATATTGCAAGTATTTTGTTTTCTTTTATTATTGTAGGATGCGAAACAACAGGGAATAATCAGACATGACTAAAATGGGAAGCAAAAATCAGAAGTATCTGCTTTTATGAAAGMATGCTCTCATAGGTRCACTTTTTRTTTRTGCAAAMTTKTAGGTGTAAGWACAGGGAAARGAGGGGGAATAAACCCCCAAAAKTTACTTTAGGCTGATCAGAGAACTCTTCTGGGAGGGAATTCCTTGTGCACTGGGATTGAAGATGGACCAGGACTGCAGCATGTGGCCATAATTCATATGAAGGCTTGGTTCTGAGCATCCTGATTCCTACCTCACTTCTCCACGAACTATTCCAAGTGTCTGCATCTAAACACTTCCCAAATTAAGCAGTTTGCATCCTAATCTGAATTTTGCAACTCAAGCCTACCTGTGGTTATACAGTCAGACAGAAGAGCCAACAGCCAAGAGCAACGCCTAGTCACTGACTTTGATCTAGAAATGGTTATTATCCAGCTATCTCCATTACAAAACATCCAGTTTGCTAAACCTGGGTTATCTTCTGATTTGGCTTCATTTGATAGGCAAGAGCAGGTCTAGCATGGGAGAGCTTCACATCCCGAAAYGATGCATCTTCCACAAAACTGATAAGTGACAAACCTTGCAAAACCCGTGAGCAGGAAATGACGTCTCTGTCCACCTCCAGCTCTGTCTCTCCAGTTAATCCTAAACTGCACCACTGGCAGCATTGGCAGATGGGATGGAAAAGTGGGAATTATTGCTTCACCCTACAGAGCTGAGAGTCCCCAGTGGGCAGTGACAGGGAACGTGTTGCTCATGGCAGCGACAGCAGCGTGGTTCTGCAGAGGAGTTCAGTTCTCAATATATGAAATTACGCAGATTTTTCGTGAGGGTAAATGACTTATTTTCAAACTGTTTCTTTGAATTTCTTTTTTCCTGGAAGCATAGTAGGAAGATACTTAGAAAYGAAGTCACTTTGAATTCTCTTTGCTCCAGATTAGAAAAAAAAAAAAAACAAAAAACCAAACCTTCTTCTTTATCTGAGGAGTGAATTTGGGTCACGATGTGGTAGCACAGTCCTCATGCTGAATAACTCGCTGAACATGTGGTAGCGTTTTGTGACACGGTCTGTGGAGTGGGAAGTAGGCTGAGCTCACCCAACCCATCTCATTTATGGCTTTACACAAGTAAATAAGTATGTTTTCAGCCACTCAACACAAGAATGGCTTGCAAATTGCAACCACCATTGCCTGGCAGGTCAGAGGTTAAGCTTTTCAACAGGTCAGACTACAGTGCTAATTCACCTCAGCAGTGAGTCCCAGGCAGCCTGTAATGCATATTTGTGGTGGTTGTGTTTGTATAGCATACACATAAAATGAAAACCGTATGACAGAGGTTAGTCCTCTTAAATGGYTGTCACATTGGCTTGGGCTGCTTTCGTACAGTTATTCATGTGCTAGCCAAGATTCTGGTGGTATTTTTGTATGAATTTTATTGACGTGGTGAGCTAACTGGGGTAATTTCATAGCTATTACAATCAGCCAGTGGCCCAAGAAATGCACTGCTTTGTTTATCACGAAAATGTTGCTAACTGGTCTGGCCAGATTCAGCTTCCAGCGGTGGCCCTCTTCCAGATGTGGAAAACCCCTTTTTCTGACACAGAGGRTTCAGACAATTCTTGTGGGTCTGGTGCACAAAATCATTGATGCTGCAGGCTGAGGGCTCAGCCCCTGTCACCAGATGTGTTTTCTGGATGTTACACAAAGAAGGAGCTTGCAAGAACTTCTTGAGTTCAGCTCACAACTGCCAGACCTTGGACTAAGGCCTGGATTAAGTGAAATGCCTACGTTATGGGTCTAAATAAGGCATTTAAACCTTCTCCTATATTCAGTTGAGAGAGACAGGCACTCCCAGGGATACTCTGGGGAAGTGCTTTTGTCCTCTGYGTGTCTGTGTCCACTTCACAGGGAGCTTGAGGTAACAAAAATCCTGGTACAGAGACCTTGGCTGAACACAGGTGGTGATATAGACCTGGACAGCCACTCACCACGTCAAAAATGACCTGAAACTGCTTCTTCAAAAGGTTTATATTCCATACAACCCGGTGTGCTGCTTAGTGGATTTTACATGCACACATAATCCCGTGGACAGCAGTGCTGATGTGAGTTCAGCAGTCCAAAGGTCTCTGTCTGAATGACCAAAAGAAGTCATTTACTGTCTTTTGTTGGCAGAGAAGTATTAAAATTTCCTCTTCCACAAAGCAGGAAGAGCAGACACAGCCCTGGACTTTCCGTCCCAGATCCTTCCTGACCGAGATGCCCTGGTCCAAGGGAGGAGCTGTGACCTTMCAAGGCTGAGTTTTGGCACATCAGGACATGCTCATGTCCACAGCACACGTTCCTTGTTCTGCTGAAAAACAGGTGAAATAAAAAGAACTTATCATACAGGCCAATTTTAAGAGATTTCTGCAGAAAGGTGAAATAGCAAATAAAAGAGAAATCTGTGAGTGCACACGACAGGAGACAAGTGAGATGTTTTGGGAAGCTCCCATTTCCATCTCTCAGAGGTTCTCTACATCCCTGAGAAAAGCAGAWGAGTGCTCCCCATCTTTGGTGAAATGCTTGATGGAGCTGGCAATAGCACTCCAGTTTCACACTGACTATAAATGATGCTTACATTTCAACAGCATTTTTTAATAATATTTTTCATAAGTATAAGCTAAAGGAGTTATTTTCCACCAGGGTCATTGAGAGTTCACTAAATGCTGATAGACTGTGTTCTGTATTAATGATGCTAAGCTAACTGCCTCACAGAACTGCCAAAGCCCTTTATTTAAAGCAATAGCACTGTATTTCACAAGAAAATATTTTTAAAGCTTTCCTTACTGATAATTTGTCTAAAGTGAGACAAATATGATGATTTTTATGGAATCTGAAAGGTCCAGTATGGGATGTGTTCAGTAAGATACATGCTTTATTTGAACATGCATTTAGAGCAGCATGCATTCTAATAATCATTAAAAACATTTTCTTTTTTT